CAGGGAGAATTTACAGTTTACGAAGCATCCCGTACAAGAATGAAAGCTTGATGACTTTTCAAATCCTACATTATTTTTCAGCTTAGCAAGCTTGTTTAAGAGTGATCAGATTTTTATTTTGTTCACCACATGTAAGCCTAAATATGGACTGAATGGGTCTACCACATATTTTAGAGCTGTATTATTAAGCCTCTCACTACCATGGACCAAGTAGCATTTTATGCACATATCTGAGAACAGTGTGCTGCAGTTCTCTCTTATGTACCTGAACCCAACACAGTACAGCTGATCTTCACACGTTCAGTAGGTCCAACAGCTCCTACAAAATGATTCACCAATTAAACTGAGAAATATTCTGCCTGTAGAAATTAATGAAACCCTGTAGCTGGAGCTACTCAAAACGTGGCTGGATGGGGCTTGGTTAACCTTATCTAAATTCAAGGTTAGCTGTGAGTGAGGGTTTGGAATAATAATCCCAGAAGTTCTTTTCAGTTTAAATTCTTCTGAGAATCTATAAACTTGGGAAGTACAAGCAAATCTCTACCCATATTTTGGATGTTCTTAAGAGGACCCCAGAAAAAAAAAAAGTGGGAAGTGACACCAGATTAATTGTGCTGATGGGCTAGGAACAACTAACAGATCATGAATTGGGAACTAGCAGTTTTGAGCAGTTTAACAGCTATTGCATTTAATTTGCTTAAAGTGCCTCCTTGTGCTACCACAGGTTTGGTGCTTTCTGGACAAGGATTGTTGTTTCATACAAGAAGAGGACTAACAAAAATTTAGCAAAACAGTCTGACATTCAAGTTTTATGTAATTATGTAAATTCTTAACTGTTCAGTTAATGCCACTCTTGATTTCCTTGCAGAGTCCAGGAACACCCTGAAAACAGAGAAAATGTGTAATTTCTAATTAGTTATTAGAGTAATAAGTAGAGTAACATAATTAACATACATAACATTTATATTGTAAAAAATTAAATAGTAATAACAATGATAATTTATTAATATCTAGAGACCTTAACAGAGATAAGAATGTAAAGACTAAAATACATGTCTACTCAGTTAGAAATTGTGTGCTCATATGTGTGTGCTCATATGTGTGTCTGTTGGAAACAGACTCCAGTCTGGATAGGCAGGTGACTCAAATAATGAGTCAAGATATTTGTTGATGGGAGAACCTGATGGTAAAACTCAGAAAATGTTGAGACTTGAGTTTATGTGATTTCTCCAGGTGCTGTGTAAAAAGGCTGAAGCTCAAGGAGTTTGAAAGTTTAACAGAAAAAAGCGATGACACTAAGTGGGATGACCAATTACCTCAGCTCATTTTCCTCTGAAGTGTCAAGCAGAAGGTCATGTGCTTGGGAAATGATATCATAGCTGTGTTAATAACCATAACTCTCCCTTATGTTCTTGTCACAGCTATGAAATCCTATTTCTTTTTCTATCAGGAAGGGTGTGTGTGCATGTGTATGTGTGTATAAAACATACAGTAGGTAAATATATCGAAGGGCTCTGGTAATTTCATGGTAACCACAAGAGCAAAGCTCAAGTTGTTTGTGATGTTAAAAGAAACCAGAGATGTGCTGTATGTATAGCCTCATTCACAGCCTCTGAATTGCCTTTTATATAGTTCATGGATCACACAAGATTTTAAGAGGAAAAATATTTTCTTTAAATTTATGTACATAACGTCCCTTTTCCTTCTAACATACCAGAAGAAGGTTTCATAATTTTAACTTATTGTGAAACACTACTGTATTTATTTTTAATACAGAAATACCTTCTGCACCTAAATTTCACTACAAGATATTTATGTTGTAATTCCTTGTTAAGAAATTAAAATCTAATACAAAAAGTGAAGTCACTCAACCAACTAAAATCAATAGAAAATTGATCTGTCTGAAACATTCTTTTGGAAAACATAACTGCCTCATAAGAAAACATGTAAAACTTTTCTAGCATTCCTTGGCATTCCTGAAGTTAGGTTTACTAATTTGGATTCCTAGGAAAAAACCTAGGACACCCCTTTGAAAGTTTCAGGAATTAATAGTTTGTTCACATATTTCCTTAACAAGACATTGGTATATTTTAGGATTTGCAGCTGAATTCTGTCCTCATTTACACCTGTGCAATTTCACTGAAGCTAGACTGAAAGAGATTTGTCTAGGAAAAAATATCAAGAAAATTAACGGTACTAAACTTAGTTTACTGCAAACCAAACTGCTAAATATGGAAGGAAATAGTGTTTTTGTGATTCCTCCAGACCACATAGGTTATTGAGCACTTTCAAACTGAGCCTCTAAACCTTTTGAAGTCTTCCCATCATGATTGTATTAAAGGTAAACTTGTGTACATTCCTATTTAAATAGATTTTTTGGGAAATTTTTTCCCATAAATATCTGTGGAGCCTGAGTGACTGCAGCATTTAGCATAACATTTCTTTGGAATAAATTTTAGTAAGTCAGATACATGAGATTTTTTCGCATATGAGTTAGCTTTGGAGATTATAAACTCCTTCAAAAACAGCTCCTGTATTAGACACTGCATAGATTAACTAGTCCCTCCCTGGGCAAATTTGTCTGATTACAAGTCAACGCTGTCTTAGAAGTAACAATGCAGCTGATGATCATGCCAAGACACAGAGTGGTTTCCCATGGGCTGATGTTTCAGAGTCTTTTGAAAACTGATTAAGGGTAGAGGGAACTGGAAAGTTCTGAAACTCTCATTAGATTCTCTTTCCTCATAGAGATTTTAAGAGGCTGACAAGAAAGAGGAAAAATCCTCTATGTCCTTCCCCAGACACTTTTCTCACTCCTTTACCTCTCAGCAGACCACCTCAAATAAACAGGAGCAGATGCCTGAGATGTGCCCAACTAGCTGTGTGTACATGTGTGAATGGAAAAGCAAGCTCCATTCACAAGTGTGTGTGGAAGTGTGTGTGGAATTGTGTGTATGACTGCACAAATGAATGCCTGTGTAAACAAGGAGCTGAGCAGACCAGGAGTTTGGTAAGATGTGTCGCTACAGTGACTTTTCCGGAGGCTTCTGCAAGAAACCAAAATGGTGCATTTTGGTACAACCAGTAAATACTGGTTGTTTTTTTTGCTGCTGGAATTCCCAAGGAGACCAAATTAGTTTGTCAGCTCCCGGTGATCTTGCTAATATAACTGTTTAAAACTAACTTTTAAAATAATACTATTTCGTCCTTGCTATCTGCAATAGATCTCAGCTAGATGAGTTCAGTGAACCATAATTTATTGCTTTAGTTTGTTGGTGGTTTGGTGAGTATGTGCTCCTGCAAAGTGATAGGACAACAGGAAAAAACCCCAAATCATCAGCATTAGAAACATGTTTTCATTCTGTATGTGTGTGTATGTGCGTGTCTGTCATAATTCATTACTTCCCCTGACCTCTACTTCGGCAGAAAAAAAATCAGTCAGCTAGAGAGATAACCTTCATATCTTAAAGTCAAAATTCCTTTGTCTATGGATTTGGAACATGAATGTAAAATTAAGTTTGAAGTGGGAATTCACTTTACAGTGCTAACCAAAGACTAACTGCAATTACTTCAACATACAGCAGAGAACAAAGACATGTGGGCTCAATCACAGTGCATCGAAGCAATGATATACTGAACAGACAGCAGATTTTTAGGATGAAGACAAATTTAGCAAAGTAAAACAAATAAAAGGATATAGTTACTGGCTGACAAGTTCTGTGCTGTGAATGAGGGCTAAAAATGTCTTGCATGATGTTATTTGTACATTAGAAAAAAAAATCAGCATTCAGGAAAGAGATATAAGTTAAATTGGAGAAGCTATACAAAGCTGTATATTTTATAACGGTGTGTGCAAGTGAGAAATGACTGAGGAAGTTTGAGTATGTGAGAAATTATATCATCTCCCTGTAATACTCATAAAGAGATAGAGAGTAGAGATTTTTAAAGAAGAGAAGGCCAGCTGTTGAGTATGAAGTTTGCTCAAATCAAAGTGAATAAGGCAGGAATAAAAAAATGCACAGTCTGAGATAATAACAAGAACTGACTTATGCTAGGTCTTTAAAATCTTCCTGCCTGTTTATCTAGTAACAAATAAGTGAAAAACGCCTGTCCATAAATAGCATCTATACATAGACGATTGAAGGCCTGAGACTCAGAATGAAGCTTTAAGTTACTGCCAAGTATAGAAAGGATTACACATCAAAGCTTGACTACACGGTTAATCCAGGCATTGCTGGTAACCACAAAGTTTGTGGCCTAGTCTGTCATGCAACATTTTCCATGGATGCACAGTGCAGCCTGTTAAGGCTGAGCGCTGAAACAGAAATTCCCTCAAAGTATCATTTGACCTAAAAACCTAATGAAAAGAAATCTTATCTCAAAACTATTGAGTAACTCTTGAATGTAGAAAAGAAGAAAAACCCTTGAATGTATTATCACTCATTCCTGTGTTTTATGGTTTCATTTTTTTAAAGTAATTATGTAAAGATTGTCAATATTAAATTTTGAAAATACTTGTTGGGCTTTGTTGCTTGAGAAACCCAAAGTGGTTTCTTTTGTTCACCATTTTCTACTCTTTCCTACCATTACAGTAAGAATTCTGATGAGGAGAAGCTTTATGGTAAAAACAGCTATGATCTTTTACACTCTTTTGACATCTTTTCTCCCAAGTCAGTTGTGTGCTTCCACTAAGTTTATTGACTGGATGGGCTGATGACATCCTGAGGTTCAAAGGTAAAAATCACATATGGAGCCATGGAGCATGACAGAGTAAGGAATATGACTCATCAGCCCTTGCTCTTAAGTGAAGGATCTAGTATTTTGACTTGTGTGATCACTTTGTGGTATTTTCTAACATAATTGCAGAGAATTGGTTAAGTACTTTTTACTTGTTTTAGAGGAGAACTAATAATGATTATGTGAAGTAAAGGAAATCAAACTTTACAGAAAACAAAGGATGAACTGTCTAAATTTAATTGTATTAATTTTATATGTTCCAGATTCAGAACAATCTGTGGGCAGGGAATGCGGCTAGCGGTTCTGTGGTTACTTCCTGCATGCTGCCACGAGATACGTCCTCCTGTATGACACCTTATTCCCATTCACCCCGGACAGATTCTGGCTACACAGGCTTTTCAAACCACCAGAATCAGTTCAGCCATGTGCCCCTCAATAATTTTTTCACTGACTCATTACTTTCTGGGGCAACCAATGGACATGCTTTTGAAACCAAGCCAGAGTTTGAAAGGAGGTCCTCCAGCATTGCAGTTCTACGGATGAAAGCCAAAGAGCATGCAGCCAATATTTCCTGGGCCATGTAATATAGCAGTACCCTTTCTCAATTTCTTTTTTTTAATAGCAAACTAAAACCATTTTTATTTCCCATATTTAAAGGGAATGAAAATAAGCTGCTGTGTGTGGAATACTAGAAATCACAATATACACAATGTCTGCTTAAACAAATGCAATATAATATTTAACAATAAAACAAGAATAAACCAAATAGATTTACTGTGCATCAAGTTCAACAAGCCTTCTTTGTTTTGGTTTTTATATGTAAGTATGTTTTGTTGTACCAGTTGATGAAATATGATTATAGAACCTGCAAAAAAGAATAAAACTACTAAGCAAATATATCTACTCCATGGTTTTTAGCAGTCCTATATAAAAATTTCATGCTTTACGAATTAATACTTCATAAGGGAACAACTCTGTAAAGGATAATAAATTTATTATACTCAATCCATGATGTAAATCTCTAATCACACCGTGCAAAGAAGGAAATATGTTGTAGGTGGAATTTGTAGACTGAGTTTTCTCATCACTGTGCTGCTGCTCTAAGTCAGCTCTGCTGTTTTACTAAATGCAAGTTGAGATTGTTGAACTTATACCAATGAACAACTAATGTAATAAGAATAGAAAGTAATTGTTTATCTTATGGACTTGTGTGTATTCATATTAAATATAATGAATTTTTTTTGTGTCAGATATACCACTGAAAGCAGCATCACAGAGGTTAGTAGAGTTTTGAAAGACATGCGTAGATTATGTAAGTGAACCAGTGTTTAAATTAAATCTTTAAGGTTGCAGATAGGGTGTCATGAAACTTAGGTTACTAAAAGAGAGCATGGAATAGTACTGCTACACTTTCAGCAGAATCCAGTTTTGGGGAAAAAACCCCACAAAAGCGAAGTCTTACTTCCAGTACAATCTATCTTACTGGGTTTTGCTAATTATAGTCAAATTAAAATGAAAGAAGTCTAACAAGGCTTGCTAGTTGCAGTTTGTAACTGATCTTAAGACATTATAAAAGTACATTTCATTTAGTTTTAGTTACAGTTTGTCGATACTTTGCTTATATGTTTTCCAGAGTATTAAACTGGCTTGCTCCCTTTAAAGTATATAGGAAAAATTTTTTCTACTGCAGTGGCAGAAGGATTTGGCTCTAAGGTCCCAGGCTATCATAAAGGAATTAAAATGTCAGCAGACTTTCTGACATTTCTGGTGGAAAAAAAAAATAGAGGAGAAGAAAAATACTTTACATCTGGAGAATTGCTATCTGCTTTGATTTACTTCTCCTCCCTTTCCCCTTGTCACATTCCAAGCTCCTTCAGATGAGTGAAATGTCAGGCTCTTTGAAAGCAACAGTCAGTCTCTCAGGTTCATAAAGGCAAGCAAATTAATTGAAATAAAGAAAGACTTGCATGGCTCTGATTAGAACAGGATACAACTCTCTAGGCACCCCCTGCTCCTTCTTGCTTTTCTCTCTGACCATTAGTTAGGAACAGAGGGTGGATGGGGGAAGAAGGGAAGATCCGGGAAGCACATTTCATCACAGAAAATGCAAAACTACCAGTACTCATAAACAAAAAGGAACCCCCAAAATTTGCTCTGCTGCCACTCTGGGGGGCTAAACTTGAAACAAAAATTGGAGATGGATCCATTTGGCAGCCTGTCAGAGGAACAAACAAACTTAACTTTGAAATCATCAGTTGAATTATTTTTTTTACAGCAGATTCTTGAACAGCTGAAAGGAAGGTTGTCCTATTTACCACTAATAATAAACTCAAAGTTTAACATATACATATACTCCAATTTGTGGTTTCTTGATTTGTTTCTCCTTATAAAAATTAGCTTCAATTTTGACCAGAGGAACTGAAAAAGAGTTTCCTGGCTAGAATTTATCTTTTCCCTTTTTTATGGTCTGTTTAGACGGCAGCAAAATGAGTCTTATAACTTAAAGCAGAAAAAAGAATTTTATTGGTAAAGGTAGGGATACTAATTTTATATAGACAATTGTGCCACATGCAGAAGGATGGAAGTGATGGAAATACAAGAGATTTTGTAGCAGGTCTAATTCTTTCCAACTTTCCAATTGAAAAATGTGGCATGTTTTTGTTCATTTGTTTGTTTGGGGGATTTTGTTTGTTTGCTTGTTTTGTTTTATTTTGGTTTTGAATTTTTTGGTGTTTTATTTTATCCAGTTTCCACATAATCATTTTTTAAGATATGGTATTTAAAACATGCCAAAGTGATTTCCAGATAATTTTTAAGAGCATCATTAGTAGATAAGGAAGCAAAAGTCTAGCTGGAAAACTCCAAACCACTTTCATTGTTACCTCTTTCAATTTACTTATCTGTTTTCATAGCAGAATTTTCTTTCACTGTCTTCTGAAATCTGGTCCAAAATAATCTGTATGAGGTTTGTGTCAGGAGTAAAATCTAGCAATTACTAGGAATTTATTGCACTGACAAATTACTTGGGGAGAATAAATATCCATTTTCAAAATATTACAACATTTTTAGATGCTTGAAGCCTCCAAAATCAAAGAGGAAAATAAAAGACCATGTCATTTTCCTTCTGATTTTAATGAAGTGAAAGCGATGCAATTCTAATAATTCTTCATCCTCAAATCTAGCAATGGAAATTATTTGTTACATGTTGCTAGCATAATTTTATGCATTAAATAAATAGGTATTCAACCCCTCATTAAACCCAGGGTGTGATAAGTTGCAGGCCTGCATTAAGCTTGTCATGCTCTTGCATCAGCCTCGTCTCAAAGAATGAATGATAGCCTGTTGCTTGCAGCGTTTCATTTACCTAATGAAAAAGTATCTTCGTGTTAGATGTCAAGTACTACAACAGGGTCACATTCTGCCACTTTTATTTAGTAGTGCTTTACTCCATGAGTGCATGCATTGATGGGAGTTAGACTACTCACATAGGCCAAATTGTGAATCACTTGTAAATGTTTATTCACAATGCCCCCATTCATGCAGAAAAAAAAGCTGCTTAGCATAACTTGAGTAACCGGTTCATAATCAGGCCCAACTTAAGGTACTATTCAGCTCTGGTAAGGATGGCAGAATCTGGACCACACTGGCTTAAGTCCAGACTCAAATTTTTTAACCAAGATGAGTAGCTCCTTATTCCACAAATAGTGTACATACACCCAACAGGGCTATTTGCAATGTTCTTTTTTCATAAGAAAATTCTAGAAAAGAGACATTTCAGTTTATGCAAATAATTTGAGCAAGTTTCTATTCAAGGTAAATGATTTTATTTTCCACTGGATTACCCTCCCAAATTTGATAGGACTTGTGTTCTTGTGCTTTGATTTTATCCACTTAAGGATTTCTTAGCATGAGCAACTAATATTTTCACTACTTCTTGAACATGTGCAAAATGCACTAAAACCAAAAGGAGGTGATTTACGTAGCCATCCTGCCAAGTACTTTAACTGACGTGTGAGATATGTGATCATCATGCTGTGTTGAGAAGTAAATTTATAGAACTTTTGGGCAGAGTCCCTATCCTGTTAAAAGAGAAAGTGAAATATTGTTGTAATTATTGCTGTGAAGAATTCATCATGACCTAGCACTGTGACATTTTTTCTCCTATGATTGATTCATCAACAATTTGAAAATCTTAAGTATTTGAACAAATTTTTGAACAAATACAAATTTAGCTCTGAAACGTAAATTTATTTATATTATGACTTTTACAGATTCATGTAAGTGATGGACAACACTATTTAAGAGCTAAAGACCCAGTCTCCATATGATAAAGATGGTCAGAAAAGTTTGACAAAACTGATTTCTGTGTACAGTTTAATCAGCAGTGTTACATACCACAGGAACATATCAATGAAAGCATCTTTTGTTGCTGAAAATAAGCTAAAATGAACTATATTTCTCATTTCACTTCTTTACTGTCATAAAATTTTACACTGCCAAGTGCTGAAAAAATCCAGTTGAATATGTTAAAGGTATTTTACTTTGGCTGTGAATTTTAGGATAAGGTCCCGAAGTGTATAATTTACCAAACATAACCAATATTGTGAATCTAATAGTGAGATAGTTTAGCATAATAGAAGCAACTTATTTTATTTGCAAAGAATAAAATATTACATTTTTTTCAAAATGACAAGAATTAATATTTTATTGAAAAATTTTAAATGTCAGAGCTATTTGGAAATTAGAATTAAATCAGCCTGATCAGAGTTAGAACACGTTGAAAACATTATACCTCTTAGTTTCAAAATGTTTCCAGGGGAAGTTCTTTCTGTCACAAGGCACTGGTTTTTTTCCCTGTTGCGGTTAAACCCCAACCAAACACCAAGTCCCATGTAGTCCCCCAGTTACTCCCCCACCAGTAGGCTAGGAGTGAGAACTGGAAGGATAAAAGACAGAAAACTCATAGGTTGAGATAAAGACAGTTTAATAGGGAAAGGAAAACCCACACACCCAAGCGGAGCAAACCAAGAATTAATTCACTGCTTCCCGTGGCAGGTAGGTGTTCAGTCACCCCCAAGAGAGCAGGGCCCCATCATGCATAACAGTTACTTGGCAAGACAAAGGTCAGCACTATCACATAAGACATATTTCAGATATTGGCCTTTTCCTGCAAGTAATTTTTTCACTATTTTAGCAAAATAAAAATTACACAGTTCCTCACCAAACACTGTGTTTTCAAACACAGTCCACATGAGATGTCACTGATTTTTCAATATAAACTGCCCCAAACAAGTAGGTGAATTTCAAAATCATTACCTTCTCAAAGAATACTTTGTACTTGTACTTGTGAGGCCTCACACTCAACAGCTCAGAACTTCAGCTTAACTCATGCTGCTCACTTTCATAACAGTGATTATTCCCATAGGAATAAGCAGTGGACTAGACTAATAAATACATCAATGCATAGGAAATAATATTGGTTAAAGTAATTGATGTTAGCATGAAAAACATAATTTCAAAAAGTGTAGGTTATAGGATCGGGTCAAAAATCATCCTTTCTGACTGGCTTATAGAGTGGCACTTGATGACTCACAAGATGCTGTTACAGGAGTGCTCTAGTTCTACCCATAGCAACCCCTCCACAAGCTAACAGCTGGCCACTTCATCTCTCAGAAGCTGAGGCAATGATGGTTTCTGCATTATTTAATTGTTAAAAATTATTAATTATTAAAAATAATTAAATAGACTTGATCCTCCCTGTTTCAAACTCCTAAGTGAATATTAAAATATGTGTATCAAACATAGTATATTTTATATTTATATATATGTCATTACAGTGGGGCAAAGTCTTCTGCTATAATCCAGTAGTTGCAAAATATTAGATTTTTGATACCATTAT